TTAGCTTTAGAACCAAAGGTTACGTTATTAGATTTTTAAAAAGGGAATTTAATTTTTATTTTTTATTTTTTTTGAAGGAAGAGGGTTTTATTTTTAGATACAAAAAAAGATGGAAAAGAAACAAATGCAAGACTGAAAGTGAGGCAAAAAATAGATGTACTCTAAAGAATTCTTCTTTCTTGTAAGAAAAAAACATTTTTTTAAATCCAAAAAACAAAATTTAAAAAACAATATGGATGTTTCACCTTTTGTAACTTTTTATATTTTTTAGATATTTATTACTCCGTATTATAAATTAGTTTTCATATATTTGTATCATAAAAATAACTAAATAAGAAGTATTTTTTCTTTTTTTCCAAAAGAAAAAAAAAGAAAAGGAATTGGAGCAAGTACATGCCTCGCACATGCCACTGAAAGGGGAGTTACCCCTTCATGCCTCGCCCAAATATCCCGTGTCAAATCCTATGTGGCATGCGTGGCAGTGGCTTTGACATGCCACTGTCCATGCTCTTAGAAACGTAAAAGTCATATTTTGAGGTTTAGAGTGAATTTTTATCAAATTTGGTTCTTAACTATTTTTGAGGTATCTTAGTTCACTAGAATTATTTTCATATAGTACCTCCATCTTAAAGGAAAATGATAGAACCTCATCTTAGTGGCTTGATGTACACCAAGACAACAACTGACACACACAAACACTCAATGTTTGTGCGTGTACAGGTTTTGAGTATCCTAGTCCAAACATCTACAAGAAAAAGAACACGATTCAAGAGCTATCCAACTATCCTAGTCCAAGATCTCCAAACACTTCTATCTAACAAGAAAAAGATCACGATTCCAAGGGGCTAGAAGTAAGTCATGCTTAATAACTTTTAACTCTTCCAAGGTCTACCCCTCCCTCCACCCCACTCACTATGTAAGTCTCTCGCATCTCTGCATCAGAGCCTCAACGTTACGCTGTTTTACGTGACCAAACCAAACCAAACCTCCCACGGGTCTCCGGATAACCTCTTTTTGAATTATAACCAACCTTGTCTACCCACACATCCACCTCAGCATTCACATCTCTTCCGCATAGCCAGCTTGTCCACCAACCGATAGAACTTTTCTTTCATCTAGGCCCGGTTAAAGTATGGGCCAAACCAAGTTTTGGGTCGGGTCAAGATGCTATATTACAAGAATTTTCTAGGCCCAAGTACATCTCGACCCGGCCCGTATAACGGGCCTAACAATTGAAACCGGAGCCTGGCCCCCACGGATACCAGAGGGTATAAGGCCAACCTGGTCCACATTGGCAACATCTTCTAAGTATTTATAAATAATTTTTTAAGTAAAGTAATATATTTATTTATTATACATTTGATATAATAACTATAATGAGTATATCAAAGAACAACTAATATATAAAATGTGTTTTGTTTGATAATGTTACTATTGTTTACTTAAATATCATTATTGATGTGTGATAGGATTAAATAATACAGAGCGAATAGTACGCAATAATAAATATCATTATTGATGTGTGCATCGTTCGATTTGTTGGGCCTTGTTGGACCGCTCATTCAGTTGGGCCGGATACCCCCATCCCGGGTTACCCATCAGGAATATTTATAAATTTTTAATTTGTTTTGGACTGCATAGCGGGCTTCAACAGATACTCATATTTATTACTCTCTTCAGTCCTAAAAACCATTTCTGTTTTGACTTTTTTGGTCAAACATTGACATTTTTTACCACAAATTAAATACTCCGTATAATCTAATAAATAAATGATATAAAAAATTGATATATCAAAATTATATCCTAAGATGGACCCAATTATATTGAATTTATATTATAATCAAATATACTTTTCTCACAATTTATGATTAAAGAGTGTCACTTTTTGACCAAGAAAAATCAAAACAGAAAAGATTTTTGAACCGGATGGAACATTATTTTTTCAAAAAGATAATTGTTACCAAACTCATTAATATTCAAAGAGTATCATACCTATTGTTATTTTTTCCAAAAAGATATATGTCTGAATGATAAGCATTTGGTTATCGGAAAATGCTAGGGGTACACCTTTCCGAAGGTGTACCTCAAATGTCCCCCACCCCCTTCTTGACCACAAAAATTGGCAAGTAAATTCAAATAAATAAATAAATAAATAAATAAAAATCAAATAAAAATAGATGATGGAGAAGCATGTGGTGTGCGTTTGGGGTACACCAACGGTGTACCCTAGCATCTCCCTTTGGTTATCACCTTCATCTTTGACTTCATGCAAAATGATGTAGATTTTAGATCCACTATAACGTAATAATCCGTTCAAACACTCTCATTCCTTTAGATGAAAACATTATGTGGTCATTAGTGTAGAACCATTTCTATCAAAGAATCATAACATCCTAATTTTAGAAAAAAGACACGAGTTCCTATGGAAGGGATTCTTATTATCAATTTTAAATTGCAGTTATCTATACTTAAAGATTGAGACTCTAAATTCTAGTTTTCGAACTTACGTACAGTATCCAATTGTTTAAGTTTTTGTACAAAAAAAAAAGGTTTCAGTTTAAATTTTGGGGTCAAATTATATATTCTTATAATGTAAATTTAATATAATTGGGCAACCCCATCGTAAATTCTTAAAACAACATCTGAAAACTGCGTAAAGGTGTCATACATTTTACCGATCATAGTGTGAGATATCTTTTATAAACAACAAAAGTGAAAATAATTTAAAATAATATCACCTATATGTGGTTTTCAAAAAAACTACGGAGTATCCCTTTTCAATGTTACACGTAATGAGCCCACCTTTTCTTGTGTATGCGAGTTTTAGGTGACCGCTAGGGAGTTAACAATGAAATTATGCTATTGTGGTTCTAAATAAGGTTCAAATATGGGTATTCTTAGAGATATTTCATGATCTCATTATTGGATCTCTGTCTTTTTATAAGTCCCAATATATATAATCATTTTATGTATTAAAATCTATAAAATGAGTATGAATTTAAAAACTACCAAAGAAGTTGACCTAAAGATCTAAAATGAATATTAAATAAAAGGTATGATTATTTGAGATAAGTTTTCATTTTTTATTTGTTTAAAATTTTAAAATTTGAAATTTTGGTTTTGAAAATATAAAAGTATGATTTTGTAAGAGATTTGTGTCAGTCTTATAAAAATTTAACGACTCACATTTTTTATAGTGTCATTTTGGGAAAAAGTAGCACTCCGTAATGGTTATCGAAAAAATAATTTGTAGTGCCGTTTCAAGAAAAAGAATACTGTAGTGAGTTATCTAAAAATATGTTGTGTTGTGTGGAAGAAAATATTGTAATACAAAAATAGTTCTAGCACAAATTTTTTTCCATACTTCGTTCTAATAATTTTTATAAACGTAAAAAACTGTTGTGCCAATTTCACAATTTTTTAAATGCCGTTTCATGAAACTTTTCGAATGAATTATAGGAAAACATTTTTCTCTAAATGGAACTAATTTTTTTACAATTCAAAACAAGTTTTCTGTACTACATACAATTTTTTTCAAAAGCCACACTAAAATATTTTTCCGATTATCCTAAAAAAATTCGAACTAACTTTGCTGGTAATCAGCTATTTCTTTTTCCAAAATAACATTACTAGTACTATTTTTCCAAAGACGGCACTACAAATGTTTTTTTTCGAAAATTCATTGCTATTTTTTCCTAAAACAACACTACAAAATTTGCGAGTTGTTATATTTTTAAAAGACTGAAACCAATATTTGATAAGAGCGTATATTTATTCTTTAAAAACATATTCTCAAATTTTAATATTTAAAAATAAAAATAAAATAGGAGAATTATCTCAAATAATCACACTTTTCATTTCTTTGCACAAAATAAGTCTTTCAGAAAAATCTTTAGGTCATCGTTATCTCTCTAAGCTTGTGGTTGCACGCTGATTATTATATATTCCAACACGCCCTTCACGTGCAGACTTTTCTTCTGCTCTAATCTTGCACATGGACATTACTACGTAATATTCTTAAGACTGGGTAGCGGTGAATTTCGAACTCGTACCCTCTAAATCTCTAATACCCTATCAAAGAACCAATTCAATCAAAAGTTCTAATTTGTAATTGTAGACCCAAGAAATATTTCACATTCAAATAATTATTTCTGATAATTCTTACAAGACAAAATGTATCAAGAGAACCCATTGGTAAAAGAAACAGAAGGTTAGGGGAGGGCTAAAATGTGCATCCACCTACCCCCCTCAAACCTCTATTCACTTGTTGATAATTAATTAGTAGGTTGTCTCTTATTGATGAAGCATAGTCCAATACGAAATTACGAATGTTGGTAATTCTAATAAATAGAGACACTCCCCGCAAAAAGGAGTTTTATTTGAAGTGGGTACGTTTTGATTGAAATTTATTGAACTAAGCTTTCACAAAAAGAAAATGCTAGTCACAAACTTAAAATTCACAAAATTGGATTGAAATTTAACTAAAACTTAAATGCTCCCCTCGTCACACTATTTTTGGATAAAGAGAGATCGACACAAAAATTAAGAACAGTAAAATTATGCTACTATTATTGGGCCCCGTTTGGCATCAGCGTTAGAGATTAGCATTAGCGTTTTGAAAAAGCTATCCGACGGTAGCCTTTAGCGTTAGTGTTTTCAAAATTAATCTACACCATTAAAATTTTATCGAAAACGCTAACGTTAATCGAAAACAGTGTTCCCAAACAAGGCCTTGATATTAAAAATAATAAGAAAAATAAGATAAACTAAAAATTAATGTGACCTAGACAAATTTGACTAAATATGATAGGACATAAAAATAAAGGGACAAATACAAAGATAAAAAAAGAAAAAATAATAATAAGCCAGAGGGAGTGTACTTTAAGCAAAAAAGGTGTTAGCTAAATGCATTGAATTGAAAATAACTCAAAATGAACACTATTGAAGTTTTTTTCAATCCCCAAAAGATACCCTATTTGAAAATTATTCGAAAAGCGAGCTAATTTTCCTTGTCTTTAATCCTTTCCTAGAAAGATCCAGAAAAAAAGTAAACTAAATTAAAAGGTTACATTTAATTAATTAAACTAAGAAATAAAGGAATATATACAACTAAAAGGTGTACCTTTGGTGAAACATAGCTCTTTTAGGAGAGAGAGAGAGGAGGGAGCACTAATCAATGCCTAAAGAATGTGAGAATGTCATAATGTCAAATATATGTTGGAGAGTATGTGAATAACATTAATGGTTAGTTTTAGACTCCAATTCAGCCATGTTCCAACTCTCATCTTATTATAATTATTATTCATCATCAAGAATTTTCTTCTTCCCAGCAACACTGGGGAGTTCATGGAATCGTTTTCCAAGATGCTCTGGCTTGCATGTTCGCCTGTTGAATGCTCTCACACAAATAAACCCTGTTTTACATATGTAGTAAACATGTTAAAAGCACAGATTTAAAAAAAAAAAAACTGATCATTTGATCCTTTTTTGCTGGTAAATAATTCATACAAGTAAAAGTAAAAGAGCTGGCTTCATACCATTCCAAAAGCAATGTTGAATCTCCTGCATGTCCATACCTAGAGTTGCATATTAGAGAACATTTATAAGTTACTTCAAGCAAAATTTAAAAGTTACCACTCCAAATTATCATAAGAATCTTCTGGGAAGGGAATAAATAAATATATTATGGAGGGGTAAAAGTGCTTTTCTTGATGATGTTTGAGTGACCATTTTCAAGGTCCTTTTAGAAGATAAAAAGCACCTAGTTCTTCAAAAGACAGTTTCTTCCAGAAATTTCAGACAAAACACTTGTAGTTGCATTGCCAACCAAAACTGATTCTAGCATTCCTCACTTATCAAAAGCACCAAACTTTTTAACGAACACACAAAAAGAGTCACTGGCTTTTCTCACCTCTGGATATTGCTGATGCAGTGCTTCCACAATATAGATTTCGTTGTTCCAATGCCCAAATCCATTTCCGGGGAACATTAATGGGACATTCACTGGATTCATGATCAACAAATACCTGTTGAAAGAAGGGTTTGTAAGTGGAAACAATCAATGACAGGTATAGGTGTATAGCATATAAATTATCTTATAGTACCTCATTGACTTGAAAATATGTTCCATTAAGGGGAAAGCTTCCTTTGTTTGCTGTTCGGCATGGTATCTACACCCATTCATTTGAGACGTGTCAATTCGTATGCAATGCACAAACCAGTATAATGTAGAGAATCTAAGCTAAGTTTTGCTCACCAAAACTGTTCCACAAACTGTTTGGTCATTTGCTTCTTGAGTAGCATTGCCTAGAGAGTCTATATCTCCACCACACATCTCAGATTCCTGGGAGCCGCTTTCTTTTTCTGATTTATTGGAAGATTCTGTTGTCCAGGGATAAAAAATGATTACAAAACCGCCCACAGTTTTTGAGTTTATCTAGTACTTATAGTTGTGCAATAGATTTATTATTAGAATTCTATTATATGATGTTACCTTTTGGCCAAATTGCGAGAAGATAGGGGCAAGGATCATCACATTCCCGTTTTGGAAACTTCAAAATCAGCAAAAAAAAAGACTTAAGTGAAAACCCGGTGCAACAAAGCAAATACTCCTTCCGTCCCAAATTAAACATCACACTTGTTTTTCCAAAGTTTAAGAAAATGTGAAATTTTATGGTTGAGATTTATGCAAAGGGAGAGAAATTCCTTTGAACCATTCAATGATTTCCTTAAAAGGAATAAGAAGTTTATTTTGGGACAATACAGAAAGGAAAATGGAAAGTTTATTTTCGGATGGAGGGAATATAATATTATTACAGAGACAAAACTCACGTCATTCAAAAGCGGATGTGTATCTGGAAGAATATAGCTGCAAGAGTGAAAAATAGCAGTACTTGTAAGTTGATTTTGTTTTGTAATCGAAGTTCCTAAAGATAATATTAGCATTTGGCATTTACTAGAATTATTTCTCAAGATTCAGAAAATGGATATGATCACTTACACTCGGTGTTTCGTCCTTAATCGCTCAACCGTCTTAATTTTAGGTGCTGGTATTGTAGCACCATTTGGAGTCAAAGCGACCAAAGCATTTGATACTTCTTCTTTGACGTCATCTGGATTCAAATAATTTAGCAAATTTCTTTTGAATTCTTCCGTATCAAGCCTGAAGTGAGGTATCTCATCATCATCTGACTCATATGGAATTTCTTCAGTGTCCCTTTCAAGTGATACCGTGGATTCCGGTTCTGGAGATGCTGGAACTTCAATAATAGGCTCATCACAATTTTGAACATAGGATTTCAGATCCTTCTCATCCAATGTGTAAGGAAAATCTTCAGTGGCTCTTTCCAGTGCTCCAGTAGATTCAGCCTCTAGAGGTGGTAGAATTTCAATGGCAGTTGCACGAGTTTGTGTATAGCATTTGGTACCCTTGTCCCCACATCCATAGGGGAAGTCTTCAATGTCTCTTACTTCATTTTGTGAGACAACCACACTTCTCTCTCCTGCTCCTCGAAGGCGAAGCCTTGAACTGAAAACATCAAGCAATTTAATTATTTAAAAATTAAAATGATTTATTTTATTTACTTATTATTAATTAAAAAATTTGTTGAGCAAACAGAAGTTTAGTTTTTTTGGAAATGTTTCTGTTTCCATTTTTCTGCTCGTTTTCACTTTTTGGGAGCAGAAAATGTAACGTTTTCAAATATCATAATGTGTTTGAATGTATTGCTTTTGCTCCAGTTTCTAAAAAGTGAAAGCAATAACAGCCAACCCTATATAAACTCAACTACGTTGGGGTCTGGGGAGGGTCAAGACATGCACAACCTTGCCTCTGTAAAAACAGAGAGACTGTTTTCAGTTTATTTCAAAACTGTATTATTTTGACAGCATTCATAAAACATTTCAAATTTTTATGAAAAAAAATGTTTATAAGAAATGCACCATAAAGTCATAAACTATATATACAAAACATGCCTACCAAACACGTTTTTATGTTTTCAAAGGTTGATAACAAAACGAGGGAAAACAAAAACAAATAAAAACAACAACAATCCAGTTGGATCCCACGAGTGTAGGGTCCGGGGAGGGCGTGTGTACGCAGACCTTGCCCCGACTCGAAAGTAGAGAGGCTGTTACTAAAGCTCATATTGATTTTCACATTTAGATCTTTATTTTCTTGCAACAAATGTAAGATTCTATTTTAAAGTTAAAAGGCTAGGTTTAAGCAAACCTAGCAAATGCGCTTGCAAAGTGTCTGCACTCTGCTCTCAATGGGCACGCATTACAGTTTGGATTCTTCTTCGTACAGATAACCTGTATATAGTAGTTGACTGACAGTGATATAAAGAAGAGCAATGAAACTAAGCAAATTTAAATTAGCCTATAAGAAGCCTTGCGTTGGACTGTGACTGACCTTTCCGAAGGTGATTAATTGGTAATGCAATACATACCTGCAAATAATATTTAAACCACTGAAAATTAAGCTTCGTTGTAGAGATGCATGTCTGTTATAAGATATTTTTATCAAGGAGGAATGATTGTTACAATATATTTTTATCCAATGTGCAAAGGCGTGGCCAAAGATACTTTTGAATGGCATCCATCTGGGGGTACCTAACAGGAGAAAACATCAGCATCTACTGGAATCATATGATAAGTGATAACAGTATCTTCACCTGGGTTGATAACATGAACTTACTGTTCTAGTAAATGTATCTGAAGATCCCCAGGCAGTGGTTCCAAAGGGACCCATCCAAGTCGCACTGCTATTCGAGCAATATTTGTATCGACCTTAAGACAAATAATAAGATGTATATGCTTCAAATGATGAGACCGTAAAGAACTAATCAAACTAAGAAATTTGAAAGTAAAAGGTCTTAGTAAAAGGAAATACAGGAAAAGCAAGATGACCAAGCGTCAAAAGCCGCACACACTCGGTACTCTTCAAACCCACCCCTCTTATGCTCAATAAAAATTCCCTAAAAGCATGAATGAAATTTGAGACGTTCCATGGATAAAATGGTTATGAAATTCCACTACAAAAGGTTAACAATAGCTCTCTCTATTATAAATATATTTAATATCAGTCAGCAATTAGTTAGTGACATACTTGGCTTTATCAGGAGGGATATCTTTTAGCCACTCTAGGTCAATGCTTACATGATCATGAACCAACCGCTGGAGGAAGGCCTGGATATTTCAACCCACAAGGTGAATCATAACATAAACCTTTGAAGAGTAGATTCCACAGGGAAGGCTATTAATAATTTGCTTTCATCATTTGAGAATAGTTACCTTAATCTTTGCTGCAAGAACATTATTCATTCCTCTACTCTCGATAATTTTTGCTATTTCTTCAACAGGAGCACGTCTAACTGCATCCCAATCAACAGCATCCAAGTTTATTCCCGGAGTCCTGCTTAAATTACAATAGGTTCTTCTCAATTCCTCCCAGTCCACATCGGGTTTTAGCATTTTTTCCACTTTAACACTTTGTTCAAAGTTAGGAATTTCTTTTGGAACACTAGACTTTTCAATGGTAGATGGCTCATGAGCGACTATCTGGTGTTTATCGGGAAAGGAACCAGAAGCAACATGTTCCTCAGGAACATTTACCACCACGCATCCATCTTCCATTGAGCCAATCTCTTTGTCTTCAGTCGAAGGGATGAAGGCTCTGGGTGATTGTGGGATTAATAAATCCAATGATTGACTGCACGGGGTTTCCCCTTGATGATCACTACACCTCGATGGTGGAGGAAATTCGGCAGCAAGAGACATAAAGGCATTGCTGTAAAAATATTTTCAACTTAATTGCATGTCATTAGAAAAAACCAAAAGATTATAGTACCAAAAAGAGTTATGTTTACCTGGATAGATAGTCCGAAACATTTTGAGTTAAAAAGACTCCAACAACTGAATCCACTACTGATCCTTTCCATGGCGAGAAACGTCTATCACCTGAGAGATTAATTCAATAAAACACCACATAAAAGGTTCAATTATATTATCATTCAGAAGAATAGATTTTCGTTGACACCAACAGAGATGGGATTAAACTAAGGTTGTTGGTTATTAATAAATGCATACCTATTCTAAGTTCTAAAAACTCATACTTATCAAGACACTTATACACAAATTAAACAAATACACAACTCGTTTAACTTTAAATAGTCATATTTCTCATCATATATTAGTGGCATATTATTCATGTTTTTAGGTCGATGTCTCACATTACTAAGTTGTGAATTAAATTATTTGAACAGAGACTAATCATATCCGGTGCTAGATATTTAATTTATTTAAAAACAAAAGTGCACATTAGTCTGACTGCACGATTTTAAATACACAACAAACAAAATAAAGATAACATATGATGAAGATGATTTTAGAATGTTCATCTCATTAACTCTTAATAATGTTGCAACACGAAGGGCATCCAGTGCAAAGCATTGCCCTATGCTTTTTTGCATTAATTTAGTGTTACTGAAATTTATACAATTAATTGTCACCACAAGTTTAAAGCTACCAATCCCAATCAGTTGGGACTAACGATGACAAGGTTTTTCTAAACCTAATCTTATTAATGTACCTCTTGGAAAAACCTAGTGGAAAAAGTGTAAATTGAATTAGTGTATAAAGGTTAAATTGGGGAGGGGGGACTAGTTAATATGCATAGATTTCACAAATGGGTAGATAAAAGGAACAAAGAAAAGTGAAAAACCTAGACAGATAAATAGGCACGAAGGGAGTATAATATGTTACAAAGTACTAACATTTAGCACTTTGAAACACTAATAAGGTAAAGGGAAACTGACTTAACTTTCATTTCGAATTAATCAATTAATGAATACAAACATGGATATTTGAAATATAAATTTACAAACAATAAATTAAAAAACAAAATAATTAAATACCAAGAACAATGAGTTGAAGTGTGTGTTTGGCATTAACCTTAGCATTTTGAAAAGTATATTTAGTAGTAGCCTTTAGAGTTTTAAAAGTTAATTTGCACATTTAAAAAACCATGAAAACCGCTAATGCTAATTACAACAATGCTCCCAAACAAACACAAAATGAAAAAATATTTAACAAAATAATTATTTGCATACTTTAATATATTACACATATTTTCACTATTTTTTATCTTTCTTTGTTAACTCATTGAATATTTAATTTTGAAAATTTCAATTTACAGAATAATTTATTTTAGTTGGTGTCTTTATTTATTATTTTTAAGTTTGATGTTAGAGCCAGTTTAGTTGTGCTATAGACTATATAAAAGATACTAAATTTTTGAGTATTTAATTAAAAGTTTCTCATTATTCCCATCCTTCAAGCTCCAAATTGATGTCTGTGTGTGTGTGTTTTCTTTGTTAGTATGAATTTCATAGAAGTCAGCATATGATTTATGGAACATGAATTCTATTTGGCATTTTTTATAATCCCTCCACCCGACTATTTTTTGGGACAAGGGCATGGCAAACAAATTTAGGAAAAGTGGAATTGTGTGGTTGACTTTAAATTGGTAAAATATGATTTGAGTCAAATAAATCATACCAAATATGGTATGAGACAAAATTTGGACATAACAAAATGGAAACAAAACAAAACAGTGGCACACAGGGAGTATCTTATTTGTCCTACTTAATGGTTTGCCAAAATGAGCTTTTTAGAGTCTACACTAATTCTTAGTATAATTGGGCACTATTCTCTCTTTACACTACTAGTATGTTATACAAGGACACACCAGCCATTTGCTTTAACAGCTACTATTAACTTGCACATAATGCAGAAAACCATAGATGGATGAACAGTTAATTGAAAGCAACTGCATTTCAGAGGGGGGAGTAAGATCACATTTACGCAGCACATTTTCTTGATACTACTTTTATTTATTTATTTATTTATTTTATTTGTTTACTTAGATTAGGTTAATTATAAAGAAAAATGATGAGTGAATGTACACCAGCTAGAATTAAAACTAAAAAAATGTTTTAAATTTAAAACTATGATTTCCACGCTTCCGCCAACTATTTATTTCAGTTTATAAGTCATTTTAAATTTTATAATCTAATATCGTTCACAACTGTTTAATTTAATAGTAGTATCAACTATAACATTCATAAGCTACTCCATCTATCCCCAAATAAACTTCCCACTTTTCTATTTGGTTTATCTCAAAGTAAGCTTTTGTTACTTTTAAGGAAAGCATTGAATGGCTTTCCCGCTGCTTTGCATAAACCTCAACCGCATAATTTCACTATTTTTAAATTCAGTTTCCGATATTTAATTTGGGACACGAGTCTTAAAGGAGTCTTAAAAATATGAATAAGCCAACATTAAAATTATACATATATTTTATACACAAAGCTTTTATATTTGATTCGTATTAAGAAAGATTCTTGTTTAATTTTATAAATTGAAGTTTTAAGCCATTGCATATTTGGAAGTCTTTTCCGAACCCATCACTGACATTTCCAATGAGTCATATTACGAATCTATTTTTTAAAATTTAAATATGATAGTTTTTAATTACTTTTTAAAATATTTAATATTTATTGTGTAATTCTTATTTATTGTGACCTTTTTCCTCATTGTTGGCAATATCTCTAGCTTTCATTTTTTAAATTAGTTTTTCAAATTAAGTACACAAATTTATATCTTTATAATCTATTCTTTGCAACACTGGGGTGCTATACAAATGCCTTTAGATGCACATTTAGGCATACCTTGAATAACATGCATGCAGGAAATGAATACTTCCACACGTTTACGAAACAATTCCCTTTGCTCTTCCCAATTTGTTCTCTTCTCCTCCTCCGTATCCTTAGGCAATTCACTTGCATCTTTCTCCATCAATAGATTCCACATTCTGATTGTTTCTGGGTCCAGATCTACCTTGGGTACTTTTTGTTTCTTCTGAGGATCCATTTTCTTTTGGTAGGGAAGTATTGCACCTTGAAGATTTCTATGCTGCACTATCTGCTGGTATTGCTCGTTTATTTGCAGCCTCTCCAATAGCTGGATGATTGACTCAATGTCACTCACTTTGGATTCAACCTGTGAACCTGTATATTCAAAAAGCCAAATTAGAGTGCATTACTTGCTGCCAATGTGATAACAAATATTAAAACTATAATGAAAATTTGTTTGTGTGATGGGTAAATAACTTTCTTGATGATGAAAAGAATATCTTGCCTGTTCCTGCCATGACATTTTTACGATGTACACGCCGTTTGTTAACATTAAATTTAGGTTGTGACCCTGCAGTAAACTTCAAATTCAAATTAAGAGAACACAAAATGTGCACAATAGTACAAACAAATTTAAATACGAGTTATGTTAGTAGTACTCTGCGCAATTGGCAAAAGGCCTTGCTGAAAAGTAGCTTCTATCTGAGGAGAGTAGATTTTAAGTTTCACTTTTTCATCTGATCCTGCAGCAATCATGTATGCCATTAAAATAAATATGGATATTACATTTAAATGATGGGGATACTACAAGAATAAACATTAGCCCTTGAGAAATTACTCTTGATGGTTGGAATGAAAGCTTTAATCATGTGGCACTGAATATCAAATAGCTTTCCATCTTGTAGGAACTGATTTTCAGATCCAAATTTAGACTCTAAACCTGCAATAAATTTTCTATTTTAAACGTTAATTTTAAATTCACGTTAAAATGGTTTAGTCACGACGCACACAAATGAACACAATTTCTACCAGAAGCACTCTGTTCTATTAGCCCAATATTTTCTTGAAGAGAGGGTTCAGTACGTGAGGGATCCTCCTTGGTGTGTGAGAAAGCACTCTCAACGGTTGGGGTTAAAGCTTCTTTTAGCTGGCAGTCAATATCAGGTAGCTCTCCATCTTGTACATGACGAGTTTCAGATCCAAACTTAGACTCTAAACCTGCAATAAATATTACGGAGTATATTTTAAATTTAAATTCTTAACTCAAATTAACACGGTACTATTTTACAGTCAGGATGCACACAAATGAAGACAAGTTCTACCAGAAGCACCCTGTGCTATTGGCCCAAGATTTTCTTGAAGAGTAGGTTCAATACGCGAGGGATCTTCCTTGGTGTGTGAGGAAGCACTACGTCTTATCTCTAGATTTTCTTGGGGAGTGGATTCAAGACATGGGGATTCCTCTTTTATGTGTGAAACTTCAAGAACAATTTGTTTCACATTAAAATACAGATTACTGAGTTCAAGATAGGGATGCGAAAAAAATAAAGATAAGCTCTCAGGATATTACTGTGTTCAGCAAGGCAGAGGAGTTCTGAATCACAACTATTCTTCACCAGTGTAGAATGTGACACTTGCAAATGTGTTGTGCAATATCGAGGGAACCTTTTAGATCTTTTCCTTCTAGATTTCACTATAGGACACAATGAAATTGAGCACTTGAAAGACTCAGGATCATCAATAGCTGCTTCCATTTGACTTTTTATAGGAAGGACTGCTAAAAGGTTGTGTCGGTTGATTGTAAACTCAAAACATTGCTTGAAGGAACTGCGCAGTTCATATCCGGAAGGCACCACTTTCTTTTTTATGTTGCTCTCCATGAACCTTAAATTGTAAAAAGGTGCTTTCTGTCTCTTTGTCCTCTTTCCCTTAAATATACTCAGACAATGGGGCCCAAACTTTCTACTATACCTCAGCAAATCAGTGGCTTGTAATTTCCTACAGTAAACTTGCAAAGAGGTACTTCGGCATCCATTTTGGTTAACCATACCAATCATCTCTTTGCCTCCATTGCAGTTGTAACTTGACTCTGTTGGTTTCAAGTTGAGACTCAAGTTATTCAAGATGTCATTTCCAGGTTGCCTGGCATGATAAACAGTTTGCTTACCAATGTCATCTAGGGAAACAATTGTCCTGTTATTGCCCACAAGAATCTCCCCCTTGTCATCTGCATTGATGAGTTTAGTCGCATAAATGTTCTGTGACCTATTTTCCAATTTCAAGGATAGTGGATGCGTGTAGGAGCTGAGATTACCTTCCATATCTATACCAGTTGTCTCTATGGAAATGTTGTTTTCATTTTCTTCTACAGATTTTTCAAAATTGAAATTGATCCCTCGTTTACATGATTCCAAACAGTGCGTTGATGCTTTGAGAGTACCTTTTCTCTTCTTCTTAGCTAATGGCTTAGGAGTTTGAGGGTTAAAAGCTGAAGGCTTGGGCAACTTTCTCGATCTAATGGCCGAAACAGGTGATTGGCCAAGACTGTTTTCGCTATTATATTTCCTCTTCACACTTTCCCTTTTAGAAGCAGGTCGTGGGATCCTTCTGGGTTTGCTATCATCAAAAATTTTGGGTCTATGTTTCTTCATTCTAACATTTCGTTGCCGCTTTTTCTTGAAACCCTCTTCTTTCTCCACTGGACTTGGAGTTCTAATCATACTGATATCTGCAAAGCATTATGTAAATAAAATATTGATATCAAAGCCAATCTTGAGTGGCAAAGTGTCAGTTGAGAATTAAAAAGTCTTTCTTAACAAAAAGATGATGGGGAATATGAAATATATTAGTCTCGAATGATATATTAACAAACAAGAATACAAGATTATAAAATTGGAGCAATGCACTTCCACTAAAAATGGAGACAAACAAGATTATAAATCATGATTGAGAATAATTGGATAAATCAACCATAAAGTACAATGAAAATTATACTCCAAATATGAAGTACAATCAATGGGACTCCAAGTCTCCTAGAGACCTAGGACTAATGGATAGATGAATGAGAGAGTATATGAAGTCAGTGGAACTGGATTAGCAGAGACAGAAAAGGAAGGAGAGTGAAGCATATTACCTAGAAGCATTTGATGCAAGTTTATTCAGATTTTAAAATTAGCTTTTTTTCCCCTGTGGATATTCTAAGTTTTTTGGTCAAAAAAAAGTCAATGTTCAAGCAAAGAAATCGGAAAATGTGTATATATGGATCCTTTTGTTTTGGTGTAAAGAAGAGAATAATTCTCATATAGAATAATGTATTATTCCGAAAGTTACGAGTCAATTGGTTCTTTTACAAATAAGAATTTGCCTGGATAATTGTTTGGCGTGCTTTTGTGAATATGATCATTTAGCGATTGCAGATACAATCATACAAATTACAGTGTTCTTCAAAGCTTGCCTTCTGAAAGGTGAGGTTTTGATGCACTCCATTCTATGTTGAGGATTACAAACGAAAATTAGTAGGGTGATTTGATTGGTAATGAGGATTCCAAAAAAAGGGTAATTTGCAGTGACAAAATTTGTTGCAAGTCAGATTACCTTTCCTTGGCTACTTTGAAAATTCAAGTAATTACTGTTAAAGTGATCAAAACAATCGCATGCAAATCAAATTCAACTGATTTTTTACCAGGAATGCCACAAGAACTCATCTCAGTGGCCACTGCAGGAGCTCCAGATTCAACGCCGGTCAAGAGCTGCGTATGAGTGATCTTCTCATGCTCCAAAGCAGCGCATCCAACGCCGGAACTTGTTGAACTTCCGGCAACTCTCAAATCGGTCACATCCATCCCCAAACCTCCACCGCCACACTCCCCCGCACCAAAGCCTTCGGTGGCGGAAGGACACTCGTTGAGATCAAATGCGCCTCCGAATTCAGGCTTCCGGCCGAAAATCCTGCCGTTAGGGTTTAAGCTCGCCCCGGCGGGAACTGCTGGCGGCTCCATTGCAGTAAATGCGGAGTAACTTGAGAGAAGCTCCGGCTCTTCAAGGAAATAACAGGCATCACTTCAACAAAACCCAATTGAATAGTACAATTGAATACGCCCCAGAAATTGTTTTAGAAGAGCAAACCCAAAAGGACTCCCGGCCAGGAAAGGAATGCTAAAAGAGGAAATTTGAGCTGAAACTTCCTCAAATCTATTGGAAGTGAAATTACTAGACAAACAAAAAAACAAACCAATAAAATCCAGTAAAATTGTTACATTAAAGTGACGTTCTTAAAAAAAATTGTTATTGTTATGTTTTCATTGAAAATATACTTTGCAATTTTTATTGAAAAAAGTTGTTATTGTTATTCGTTTGCGTTCATCAAAAAACATTGTTGCTATTAAAACTAATTACATATTATTATATTTTTGTTCATTAAAAAAGTTTTTGTTGTGTTTGGAAAAAAAATTGTTACGGCTAGTACTTCATATTTCAAGAATAAACAAAGCTCCAAACATTCTCTCTTTATATTTTAAGTGTGTTCATTCTTTTATTCTTTATTTTCAATATTTTGGCTATTTCAAGAGCCTTAATCTCTTGATTTTTATACACACACTTTTGAGTTTGTGTTTTAGTTATATATTCTCATGTTCATAAGTTTATTTTATACCTTTTGAGAGAGTATAGTTTTCCTTTTACACCGGCTAAAGTTTTGTTCTTCAATTTTGTATTCAAGCCGTTGTGTAGAACCGTTTCTTGTGTTCTTCAAACACACTTTTTTACGGTCGAGAATATCCGTTAAATTCTCAAGTTGTAACGGTTAAGGATAGCCGTATAAATCCTTGGGTAAAAGTTCATGGATAGCCTTTGAAATCCTTGGGGGAACGCTCGAAGATAGCCGTAAAATCTTCATTGTAAGCGGTTCAAGATAGCCGTTGTGAAATCTTGGAGTGAATCCTATTGGCAAGAGTTGTTTGCCAAAACTAGTGCGGTGCTTTGACGGAGTTCAAGAGACTGAGATTTAGTGAATCAGAAATCCTTGAGGATGAGCCTCGAGGTACTGGAGTAGGGAATTTCCAAACCAATATAAAATCGGTGTGCCTTTTACTTTATGCTTTTATTTCTGTGTTTTATTTATTGCTTCTGCATTTGCCAACACTGTTTTTATCAAACTCCGAAAAGTTTTCAAACGCCTTATTCACCCCACTAAGGCGTGGGCACAACGAATAACTGAATGCTTTTTACACACATCTTTGTCCACCACACGACTATTGAGCTTCGACCATCGCGAGTTTGATATCTTGATGCGGATTGCCTCGAATATTAGAGCCTTGTGTAGATTGGAGAAACATACTATATGAAAAAGGAATTTCAGAGCCTTCTGAATGATTTAAGAGCAGAATATGGTCCTTGCGATCCATGTCATTCATTCCTTCTAGCTCTAGAGGACCTTAGCTTGAAGAACCTGCACCATTAAAGCTCCGATGTTCGAAATCCGCCCATGCCTATCTTCCTCTAAAATCCTGAAAAGGCAAAAATCCCCTTCAACGAATTCCTCCCCCTTCAAAGATCTCAAGAACTTCATTTCCGAGAACATTGTCCAATGCAACCACTTCTAAAGATCCAAGAAAGCATCCAATTGCTCACTGCTCGTGTGAATAGGCCGTCTTGAAGACATCAAGAAAGGTCGTTGCATGGGATCCTTCAACAAATCCTCCAAGAGGTGTTGATTTGTGTTGGGCATTAGAAAACTAATCAAACATTTTAATTTCTAATGTTATAACTCTATTTCTGTTTGTTTCTTACTCTATGAACTCCTAGTTGTATGCTTGCTATAACTCCTAGGTGTTGATTTACCGTCTTTTTTGTTCTTGCCAAAAAGGAGATAAAGGTTAGGCTTTCTTCATAAACTTATACATATATTTTAGGAGGAGTTTGTTGAAACACTTGAATCATTAGGAAGCATTAAATCACAGGGAGCTATATATTGCACTTGTTTGAAAGTGTTCGTTTGCATTTTTGAAAGCCTTTTTGTCAACATAAAAAGGGAGGAGTTTGTTGGTCTTTGAAAGAATATTATTTTCACTAATTTAATACAATAATTCTACCTCCCTTTATATACAAAGGAGAAGGGGTTACAATAAGGAAACACTCATAAATGTGAATCCTATACAAATAAGGAATGTACTATAATTGATACAAAGAATATTCTTAACATATATAATAAATATGCTTAACATATTTAACATGCTACCGACTCCATTGGAGATCTCCGAATCCCAAGGTTGTGTCGAAAATCCGCGAAGATGATAGAAGGCAGCCCTTTCGTAAAGATATCCGCGAACTGAGAGGAAGAGGGAACATGCAGGACTCGGACTTGGCCCAGTGCTACTTTGTCTCTTACGAAGTGAATGTCAACTTCAACATGCTTGGTACGCTGATGCTGCACTGGGTTGGAGGATAAGTAAACAGCGTTGATGTTGTCACAGAAAACAATGGTGGCTCGGCGAAGGGGTTGGTGAAGTTCAAGTAGAAGATTTCGGATCCAACTGGTTTCATCAACGGCATTTGCTACGGCTCGGTACTCGGCTTCTGCATTGGATCTGGAGGTCGTTCCTTGTCGTTTAGAGGACCATGAGACGAGATTATCTCCGAGAAAAACGCAGTAGCCAGACGTGGCATCGTCGTCTTGGTCATCCTAGCCTAGCTGTTTTCCAAGCTATTCCCCTTTATCTGTTTTTAATAATAAACATTTTTACGACAATTTATCTGTTTTAATAGTCTTGAATGCCAAACCTCATATAAGTTTTGATGTGCCAAATATGTCTTCTAAGTTACTAACACTTTGCAGGTCAAAAACAAACGCCAAACCTCACTTAACTTGTTTTGTCTTACCGAGAAGACATTATAATGAGCGTAGATAGATAAAATGTAAGAGTTTGATATTTATTATGAATCACATTTTCCCATACACTCACAAAATTTATTAAAATACTTTTATATTGTTCTTAGTTGGGTTATTTTGAAAAAGGAATGAAAAATCAGTTTTGAGCTAGACATGTTATAGGACTAACGCTACCACCCTACCATCTGTATGGTACACGGATACTGTTAATGTACCTTTGTACCAGACGAGCCACTAGAAGGGAAGGTACACCATTTGAGTTTCCTCATGCGGCGTTACCCCTTACTGTTGGAACAGTACCTAGATACCGGAACAGTATCTTAGTACTGTGACAGGTAGTGATTGGTGCAGCAAACGCTAGAGGATACTTCATTGTGGCGGTACCCCAGATGGTACCCCCTATTGTTACGACAATACCCAAATATTGGAATAGTACTTATTACTATACCTATCGAACTAGGTACTGTAACTGTTAGGACACTTTTTCAAATTTTCATTTTAAATTCCAATTAACCCTAAATCATTCCCCCAATGGCTCTAAACAGTTTTCTAATGACTTTAACCATTCCTTAAGCTATATAACCCTCCCCCCCCTCGGTACCATTTTAACAACAAGAACACCCTCTTTTATTATAAGCTCTCTTATTATCATTATTGAGGGTTTTAAGTTATTCATTCTTCAATATTTTATTACTCTTTTTAAATAGCTAATTCTTATTACTTTTTAAGCACTCACACTGTCACACACACTAAGGGCTTTTGTGGTTTTCATCAGTTAATATCTTACTCATAAACATATTGTTCTATATTTATTTTTGACCCATTATATTCTTTGATAGAAAAGCAACCCAACTTCTTTTATTTTTAAGAGGTATTGATAGCCTTTAAATCCTCATTTGTTTTAAGGTTGCAGATAGCATTTAAATATTCATTTGTAAGCGGTAGAGATAGCCGTTGTAAAATCTCATTAACCATTGGCAAGGGGTGTTTTCCAAATCTCATTAGAGTCCTCTTGGTCAAGCCAGAAAAGTTATTGGATGTTAAATCCTTAAGGAAGAGCTTTAAGGTACAAGAGTAGGGAGTTCCGAACCAGTTTAAATCGCTTGACTTTTTCTTATTTTCTCTTCTCCTTTTCAGTCCTACTTTTACTTAATTTTTATTTGCATTATTTTTGCGAACGCCTTAATTCACTCCTTCTTAGGGTGAAACCGAATATCAAAACATATGAATAGGTAAGAAACTGATGTAGAAAGTTTTAAAAAACTAATGTTAAAACCTCTTTCTACAGTAGCGACTTAAAATTCTTTCCTTGTGAGAGGTCTTGAGTTCGAGTCATCCTACCAACAAAAGGTTCTTGTTTTCACCTATTTATGAGTTTGAGATTTTGACTCCACTTTTGCAAGTATCGCTGGTATCGATGCTTTAAAAAACCACAACCATAGTTGGGGTATAACAAAATGAGTAGGGGCAAGCGGTGTACACTAATCCAAAGGTCGGGGGTTCTTGAGAAGGGGCTAAATTTTCGACAGCAACAATGTGAGAGTTCTATCCAATGTGATTCATTTTATTCGCATCAGAAACAAGAAGGACTCTCTATGGACTAGACCAAGATCATACAATGATGTATTTCATTAATACACTAGCCGCAATGTAGGAGCACCTGGGGTGGACATAACTTTTTTTTAGTAAATTATATAATTGGTACTTCAAAAAGGTGGGTATTTCATATTTAGTTCTTAATTACTAAATATTACGTTTGTGGTCATTCATTAATGTGTATCTTTCCACAAATAGTCCTTTTTGGCCTTTCATCATGTTGGTATTAAGTTGAGTGCTAAAAATGTAATTTCATATTGACCGTAAGTCTGGCCATGTGTTCTTGTGTCGGCTTGCTGGACAACACAACAATAATGAGTACAATTACGGATTTGGATTCCGACCAGAACCGACATTTGTAGACTATGGTTAAGCACTTGTGGTGGGCAATATGGTGATTCAAGCGGAAGAAGGACACATTAATAACGATCTTTGAAATTACGACTGCGAGTTTGGATTCCAACCAGCGACGACAATTATGGACTCTTGTTATGGTGGACGGTGACTCTAGTGGACAAACGACACATCAACAACGACTGTATTAACATTAGATTTAGTAAGAAAGATATATGTCCTATGTCAAATTTTACACTTTTACCCATCAATTTGACGCTA